TATTTTCTTAACACCCTGCTGACATGTACCAAATATGGGTGAAATCGGTTYACAACCACGCCTGAAATCTCGATTATCACTTTATCATGCGAGAGTATAAAATGTTCGGTGACACCCGAACTTAGCCCTTCCTTACTTGTTTGTTTTATCCTTCCTGATCAACGTATACATAATTTTCGTGTGCCAAATTTATATTTTAATAAGTTATTACTAAATTCCCTGCAAACTTGTTGTTATAGTATAGAATCAACGCAGCACTGTGATGATACTTGGGATTTGAAGAGTATCTTTGTTCAGCTCCTTAGTGTGTATGTACGCAAATCCTATACACTGAATAAATAATGATAGAATACATGATTACGGCAAGTATTTAGCGTTACTTCTTTTGGACTTAAGTTTAGTGAATGGTTAAAAGGTATTGTGATTGCCAAGTTTGGAGATTCCCAGCGAAACCAGGACCATAAATCTTGCTAATATCTGCACGACACATTATTAATTAAATTTTCTTCACGAATTAACGAAAGTGTTTACAATTTAAATTCTTCTTCTCATCTCATAAGAATTATGTCACAGGATAGCGGTTGGCGCAATCGGGTATTCCATAATTTTTGCTTTAATATTACAGCGTTATATATATTATATTTTCATAAAACTTATTTTATATGTTCTTCTTCTTCTTAATTGGTGTAAACACCGCTTACGCGATTATAGCCGAGTTAACAATAGCACGCCAGTCGTTTATTCTTTTCGCTGCGTGGCGCCAATTGGATATCCCAAGCGTAGGCAGGCCCTTCTCCACCTGGTCCTTCCAACGGAGTGGAGGTCTTCCTCTTCCTTTCAGAGCTGGAGTGTTCTCGTCCATTCGGACAACATGGCCTAATTCGCTGAACTATGTCAATGTCGTCATATATCTCATACAGCTCATCGTTCTATCGAATGCGATATTCGATGTCGCCAACACGCAAAGGACAATAAATCTTTCGCAGAACTTTTCTCTCGAATACTTGTAACATCGACACATCAGCTGTTTTCATCGTCCAAGCCTCTGCACCATATAGCAGGACGGAAATTTTGAGTGACTTATAGAGTTTGGTTTTTGTTCCTCGAGAGAGGACTTTGCTTCTCAATTGCCTACTCAGTCCGAAGTAGCACCTGTTGGCAAGAGTTATCCTGCGTTGCGTATTTCCAGGCTGACATTGTTGGTGGTGTTTACGCTGGTTCCAAGTTAGACGAAATTATCTATGTCTTTAAAGTTATGACTGTCAACAGTGGCGTGAGGGGCAGTCGTGGGTGTGACGACTGTTTGTTTGATGACAGGAGATATTCCGTCTTGCCCTCGTTCGCTGCCAAACCCATTTGCTTCTCTTATTTGTAAAGTCTGAAGAAAGCAGAACTAACGGCGCGGGTGTTGAGGCCGATATAAATATCATCGGCTGCTGGCGTATAGCTGTACACTCTTATAGAGGATTGTACCTTCTCTATTTAGTCCTGCAGCTTGAATTATTTTCTCCATAAGCACGTTGAAGAAGTCGCACAATAGGGAGTCGTCTTGTCTGAAACCTCCTTTGGTATCGAACGGCTCGGAGAGGTCATTCCCGATTCTGATGGAGCTTTTGGTATTGCTCAACGTCAGTTTACACAGCCGTATTAGTTTTGCGGGGATACCAAATTCAGACATCGCGGCATAAAGGCAGTTCCTTTTCGTGCTGTCAAAAGCAGCTTTGAAATCGACGATAAGGTGGTGTGTGTCAATTCTCCTTTCACAGGTCTTTTCCAAGGTTTGGCGCATAGTGAATACCTGGTCGGTTGTTGATTTTCCAGGTCAAAAGCCACAGTGATAAGATCCAATCAGTTTGTTGACGATCTGCTTTAAACTTTCGCACAATACGCTCGACAGAACCTTTTACGCGATGTTGGGCATAGCACACTTAAATTCCAATCGTTGGACATGCTTTCGTCCGAAGATATTTTACAAAGAAGCTGATGCATGCTCCTTATCAGTTCTTCGCCACCGAGTTTGAAAAGCTCGGCCGGTAATCCATCGGCCTCCGCCGCTTTGTTGTTATTCAGGCGGGTAATTGCTATTCGAACTTCTTAATGGTCGGGCAATGGGCCGTCTGCTCCATCCCCGTCGATTGGGGCATCGGGTTCGCCTTCTCCTGGCGTTGTGCGTTCACTGCCATTCAGCAGGCTGGCGAAGTGTTCCCTCCATAATTTAAGTATGCTCTGAGTATCGGTGACTAGATCGCCTTTGGGGGTTCTACATGAGTATGCTCCGGTCTTGAAACCTTCTGTAAGCCGCCTCATTTTTCGTAGAATTTTCTAGCATTAGCCCTGTCGGCAGCTTATCAAGCTTTTCGTACTCACTCATTTCGGCCTCTTTCTTTTTTTTGTCTGAAAATGCGTCTCGCTTCCCTCTTCAACTCTCGGTATCTATCGCATCCCGCACGTGTTGTGGTCGATCGTAACGTTGCGAGGTAGGCAGACCCTTTTTTCTCCGCTGCGACACGGTACTCTTCATCGTTTCCAATTTTTTTAAACAAAATTATAAAACATTTTCTTATCGTAGACCTATGTAATGTAAAAACAAGAAGAAATATTGACTTCGAACCGAAGCTATAATACTCTTCACAAATATGTACAAAAGATTCCATGCAAGAACTTTATTTTGATTGGTCAGTTTATGTGGCAACTTTGTATATGCTATAGTGCATCGATCTAAGCCATTTCTCAGGAAATTGTAACGTTGAGTTGGACAATCGTCAAATAAAAATGCTTTTCATACAACAATTCGATTTTAATCAATTTCTCTGAAGATTATACTATTGCTTTATCCATGCCAAATTTCGGGAAAATAAAAACGTTTTCAATACATAATAATTGTAATTGAACAGTTTGTATGGCAGCTATATAAGGTTGTAGAGATCCAATATCGCAGGTTCCGATAAATGAGCAACTTCTTAAAGAGGCGTGTGTACATTATACATAGGATCTCCGACGTTTCTTTTGGGTGTTACAAACTACGTGGTACACTTAATATACCGTGTTCAGGGTAAAAATATTTTATATTTACTCGAAAGTTCGTCTGATAATTTTATCTTTGACAGAGTTTATAGTATTTTGGTGTAGAAAATGTGCTGGATACAGATAGTTATGGATATTAATTGAAGTGACAATAACAATAACAATATCTGAACTTAATTCTTTTGAAGTATCTCGCTTCTTGGTCCATATGAACTACACATAATATGCAAGAATTGTAGTATTCGAACTAATAAACCAAGGGAAAGGTGTAAACGATATCATATAAGTACATTTTAAGCATCATCATAATATTAAAAGTAACATTCCAGTCAAAATCTATTGACATATCTTTCTCACTAACTGGAAACCGTTTTGGAAAGTCCAAAACTTATGGTCACTTTGAGGTCAAGGATTCTGTTTTGTATGAATTTCATACAGTTTTGGTTAGAAACGATATTGTTGACGAACACGAATGTCCAATAAATTTCATTAATATATGTATATCACATATTAATTGAATACATTTTATAAGAATTGTGGATCGATTTCATTCATTCTTGGCACTTGATGTCCTTGTTAACATATCTTAATATATGGTATAACATATATTTAGATCAGAGAATATTAAACGACGAGATTCAAAACGGTGTTCTATTGGAGGATAGAAATTGTGCAAAATGGAAATAATAAGAAGCTCAAGATGATTGTTTAAAAATCAAACTCTTTTGATTTTTCCCACAGACTCGTGCGAGAAATACCATAGTGAAAATGGAAATAAAATTACGATATAACCTGTGAAAGCTTGTTGTACTATGGTAATAAAGATGATTTTTTTTTTTGTTTTTTCAATACGAACAAACTTTCTACTGTCTTGTCGTTTTGTCTCACAATCGCCCTTGCACAGTGTTTGTCCCCGAACTCTTCTTGTCTGCTCCAGTGCAGTTTTTTCTAGCAGTTTAGTCGCTGCTATTTCGTATACGGCTTTCCAATTTTTTTTGTGATTCCACCATCTAGGTTTTCTGGAGTTGGGTCTATACCGAATGCATTTTTCAAAATTCGCCAACGAAGTATCCTTTAAATTCTCGATGATCTCACCTCCACAATAATCGCATTTGTCGTTATCTTCGTGTTGCGTTGTGAAATCTTGGACATTGGTGCGTCAAATGCATCCTTAAAGGGGCTTATTATCAATGAGGCAGTTTGGTAAGCCGACAACAAATTGTCGAGAAGAATAGTAGGTCGAAAGACTTCTTCAAAGAGGTCTGGGTCGAATTTTGTGGGTCCCCAGAAACTTATCTTAAAAGTTTACGGGTCGAAGGTCAGGTCCATCACCTATTATCGGCCACCTTTGTTCAACGTGGATTGGTTGCTTATGTTCAATAGCTCAAGGTCAAGGAAATCAAAAGCTTCCTACTATTAGTTCTTTTGCGTCTCTATTCAACAGCCCAGACATTAAAGTCGCCAGTTATTACAAATTTAGTTCTACATTGAGCACAAGGCCGTCGATAATATTGCTAAATATTTGGTCTTTAATGCTTGGGGTAAATAGCAACTACATATATGTATGTCGCTTACTTTAGCCCGAACAAAGCCATTGGAAGTGTGACCGGTTTTATATACTTCGCTGAGTAATCCCAAATCGATCTGTTTCTCAGCGATCGTGTCCTTTATCTCATGCGACTTGTTGTGCTGCCTTCTTATATAATATACCGTTCAATTTCTTTGGACCATGCCCTAACGCAGAGTAAACATTACGGCATATTGGTGCAGTCCTTGGCTTGATGTTCGCATTCGCCACATCTTCTGCACATCCTGGACCTGTCCACGTTTGTGAACACTTTCGCTGTGTGCCCATAGTGAAAACACCTGAAGTATCGCTGCAGTTGCCTGTGTTCCCGAATAAGACGAATTAGCCACTCGGGAGTTTTATGAGTACAGTTTGAAAGCCTCCGTAGGTCTTTCTTATACTCTTAATTGCTGAGATCGTCGATTCGGAGTTTCTCAACTCTTTTTTTTTAGAGCATACAGAACCGCGCCGCTAATGATTTTATTCAGGTATTTACACTAGGATTAACAGTTTTACGTTGGTCACATAGACATTTCCTAATATTCTCTTAGGAGTCGGTTGGTATCACTGTACCATTTAATTGTAGCAGCATTTCTCCACTTTCCGTTTTGCGTATTTTGGTTACCATATTTCCGAATCCGTCAAGGTTGGAATCGGACTTAATTTTACGTAGGATCACAGCATAAATAAGATATAAAATTCAAAGTCTTTTGGTGAGTTAGTTCTACGTTTCATCCATTGGATATATGATAATTATTTGTTAATAAGTAGTCAGAAATTTCATCTGCAATCTTGTATACATTCCCATTTCCGAAAATAAAGAGAACCTTAAAAGGCCGTCGTTATACAAGATAGATGAGAATCGGTGAAGGAGCTAAAGGCCATCTCGAGAAATGAATTTGAAAAGTGTTCCGGCGATTGGAAGAAGCACTGGTATAAGTGCATAATATCGAATGGGGACTATTTTAAACGCGTCAATTCTAATGTGGGCGAATTAACAAGCATTTTTTCATACTACAAAAATTCTTGTTATTTTTTGAACACTCCTCATATTATCCTTTGATTACTATAAGTAATACATTAATTACACACCAGCTTTTCAAACCGCATATAAACCTAACGCTATGATGATCTATACCAAAGTCAAATTTTTTAGCTTAATTTGTGACTGAATTAAGGTTTTATATAATATTTTGTTTTCTAATTAACAACGACCGGATGAGCAGACGGGAAACACTTTGTCGCGATATTTTGAATATTTTCAATAGTTTGGTGTATATCAACAAAATTTTAAGTAAACACTATTATTATACTACAGATAGTATGTGCAACGTATTTCGAGGGTTTTATAAGGTAGTTATTAGATGTCAAACAAGTCATTAACAACTAATAGTGTAATTGAATTAAAATAATGTATACAACTGTGTATGTGGCCTGAAGGCTAATGGTCAAGGGAATTTTGGAAGTGATCTGTAACAATAAATAATAAAAGCACTCAAGTAGTGAGTGTAAATAATATTAATTTAATTTTAATATTAATTTCTTTAAATATTGTCATATAGAATGGGGAGGAAAAGTACTTATATATTTTTTATCGAATTTTGGAACGAATAAAAAAGAAAACATTGAAGTAAATGAATATATAAATTTGTTTACATCCCACTTAAGTGGGTTAGCATTATATGTATATGAACATATGCATGAAAAAACGTATCACCATTGATTAAGTTGTACTTACGATTTCTTGGAACAATTTCATTGGCATCTGTTGCTGGCGTAAAGATTTTGAGCAAATCGATATTTTTTGGAGCGTTTGTTGACTCCTTCATTTTCAATTTGGGGTCATTAAATATGAAACGAATGAAATTAAAAGAAGGATTATTATTTATAAAATGAATATACATATTAACATGAGGCAATGGGCTAGACAAAAAAGAACTCGATAGAAAATCGATATTTGTAAGCTTGAAGATAATTAGATTTATCAGATGGCTTCTTCAGTAGTACGAGTCAATGACCACAAACGTATACATACTTGTATATATTTCTTATAGTTAAAAAAAAAAAAAATGTTCACAGAAAATACTATTAGAAAGGTTCAATATGACCACCATTCAGCTGTTGCAATGGTTTGGTGGTGAGTACCCTGTAAAGGCCTTACACCTCTTCACTTCTATGAAGACAAGACTGGTAGTATCAGCAGGCTGCTTTAAAAGGCTTGGTAAAGAAGTTAAGGAATACTCTTATCGATTCAGAGAATTGATTTTTCCAGCCAGATTCCGCTTTAGCATACAAGACAGAAACCACCCAGTAGTGGCTTAAAAGCAATGTTCCTGATTCTATAGCTGCGGATGATTGATTGTCCGTCTGGAAGATCAGAGATAAATCCTTTGGATTACAGTTTGTGGTCAGAGTTTAATGACATAGCCTGTCGAATATCCCATATAAAACTAACGATCATAATCATGTTCTTGTGATTATTTTTTTTTTTTGTCTAGATTAAATATCAATATGAAATCTTCACGAAGAATTTCAGATCTTACCTATATAGCATATAGCTTTCACAAGAACTGGTCGATCAAAATCAAGTTCTTGTATGCAGCTTTTTTGTTAAGCAATATTCTAGTATCGGTGTAAACAAGGCTAAAGTTTTTCCTTGATTATTTAGTGTAATTGGCTTTCTAATCGTTAGCTACTGCTTATATTATACTATCGAATTTAACCACATAACTCTATTTTAATCCATGTCCATATGTTGGCGTTATTAGTTTATCTAAGTTGTAAAAAACGATAATTTCTTACAAATTTTTTATACTGTTTCGAAATAATAGCACAATTTTTCAATTTTAGAAATGATGTGATTTAATATAATCGTAGTTGATGTTGCCTAGCTTTTGTTTTGAATACTTTTAGCGATATAAATTAACTGGCTTTCAGAAATATAACAAAAATTGTTATCGTCTAAATGTTGGCTCTGGTAATTATTCAAAGTTAAGTTTTTCACAATTTAATATTAATTTCAATAAAAATTAATTGGTATTTTAAACTTTACACTTCTCTTTTAGTCTCAGATTTTTTCCACTGTTTCCTTGAATTGTTTTAATTTTCTTTTGCAAAATTTATATATTATGTAACAATTAGTTTAATTATAGTTCAGTCTGCATTTTGAAAACTGCGTTGGGGCGGAAACGCGTTATAGGAAATCGCGTTATAGGAGGTTTACCTGTATATGCATTTAAATTTGAAGAATTCAACTATTTAAAACGAGTGTTTTTCCGATTTATAATTAATTTTACACTTACATTTTTAACTTTTATATCCACTAACACTTCACTAATTCGTTTCATATTAAAAAGCGTAAAAATAACTTTAATTCCACATTCAACTCTAGTTGAAACCCATTTATTCATACAATAAGAAAATGGTTGCAGGCAAGCAAAAAATTAGTGTTACCATATTTTGTAATGGAAAACAAGTAAGGAAGGGCTAAGTTCGGGTGTCACCGAACATTTTATACTCTCGCATGATAAAGTGATAATCGAGATTTCAGGCGTGGTTGTGAACCRATTTCACCCATATTTGGTACATGTCATCTGGATATAAAGAAAATATTA